TTCTAATCCAAGGTGAAGGCCTTTAGTTGAACAGCTCTTGAGATCTGGGTAGGCAGGTGTGTACACTGTGGGCTTAGCCTGGGGAGGTAGAGAGTGGTGCATGGGTCAAGAGTGTGGGCAATGGAATCAGGCAGGCCTAGATTGGAGTCCCAGGTCTGCCTTTGTAGCTACATGGTCTTTAGCTAGGCCCTTCACCTTACTGAGTCTGGGCTTGTACTGTGAAAAGGGGAGAATGATTTTAGGGTATGATTTTTATGAAATGCTCATGTCATAAACATATGTGAAATGTTGAGAAGGAATTTGCTAAATAATAGATGTGTAACAGGTAACTGTTATTGCTGGGTCTATTATTCTAATCTTTTAAAAATTTATTTGAAATGCAGAGTGTCAGAGAAAGGAGGCAGAGAGAGAGAGAGACCTTCCATCTGCTGGTTCACTTCCCAAATGTCTGCAACAGCTGAGTCCCGGCCAGGCTGAAGCCAGGAGCCAGGAACTCCATCTGGGTCTCCATGTGGGTGACAGAGGCTCAAGCACTTGGACCATGATCTACTGCTTCCCAGTTGTATTAGCAGGGAGCTGGATGAGAAGCAAAGGAGCTGGGACTTGAACCAGCAATCTGATATGGGATGCAAATACCCCAAGAGGCAGCTTAACCACTGTTGGCATAATACCTGCCCCTGGTTCTAATTTTTAATGTTGTACTGGGTTCTGAAGGGTTGCTGTGGCTTGATGGGGGGAGAAGAAAGGGCATTCCAGGTAAGGATGGGTGGATGACAAGGGAATAAGTGTGGGTGTGCTTGATATGAGAGGGGTCTGGGAATTGTATGGCCTCTGAGGGTGTTGAGATTATAGCTAAAAGATACTGGGAAAGTCTGGACATAGCATGAGGAAGAATGTTTTAGCAGTAGAAACGGCTCAACAGTAGAGTGGCCTCAAGCAGATACAATGAGACCTCATCCCTGGAGGAGTTCCAGCAGAGACTGGGCCCCGAGAGATTGTTCTCATTAAGCTCTGAGACCACCCCAGGCCACCTAAAGAAAGGGGTTTTGGGGGCCAGCTCTGTGGCATAGCAGGTAAAGACACAGCCTGCGATACCAGCATCCCATATGGGCGCTAGTTCAAGTCCTCTTCTGATTCAGCTCCCTGCTAATTCGCCTGGGAAAGCAGTAGAGGATGACCCAAGTGCTTCAGCCCTGCACCCATGTAGGAGACCTGGAAGAGGCTCCTGGCTCCTAGCTTTGGACTGGCAAGCTGATTGTAGCCATCTGGGGGGGGGGGTGTGTGAACCCCAGATAGAAGATCAGTCTCTCTCTCTCTCTTTCCTGAAAATAAATAAATAAGTAAATAAATGGGGCAATGGGGCTGACCTTGTGGTGTAACAGGTAAAGCTACCACCTGCAATGCCAGCATACCATATGGGCACCAGTTCAGGTCCCAGCTGCTCCACTTCTAGTCCGGCTTCCTATAATGCACTTGGGAAAGCAGCAGAAGATGGCCCAAGAGCTTGGGCCCCTGCAGCCACATGGGAGACCCAGAAGAAGCTCCTGGTTCCTGCCTTTGACCTGGCCCAGCCCAGGCAGTTGTGGCCATTTGGGGAATGAACCAGTGGATGAAAGATTTCTCTCTGTCTCTCCCCTTTTCTCTGTAACTCTGCCTTTCAAGCAAATAAATAAATATTTTAAAAGAAAGTTTTAGGCCGGCCCCGTGGCTCAATAGGCTAATCCTCCGCCTTGCAGCGCCGGCACCCCAGGTTCTAGTCCCAGTTGAGGCGCCAGATTCTGTCCCGGTTGCCCCTCTTCCAGGCCAGCTCTCTGCTGTGGCCCGGGAGTGCAGTGGAGGATGGCCCAAGTCCTTGGGCCCTGCACCCACATGGGAGACCAGGAAAAGCACCTGGCTCCTGACTTCGGATCAGCGTGATGCGCTGGCCGCAGCGCACCGGCTGCAGCGGCCATTGGAGGGTGAACCAACGGCAAAGGAAGACCTTTCTCTCTGTCTCTCTCTCTCTCATTGTCCACTCTGCCTGTCAAAAAAAAAAAAAGTTTTAGATGTAAAAAAATAAAAAAAAGAAAGGGTTGGGTTTTTTTTTAAGATTTATTTATTTTTTTGAAAGTCAGAGTTACAGAGAGAGAGAGAGAGAGAGAGAGGATTTCCATCCATTGGTTCACTCCCCAACTGGCCGCAATGGCCGGAGCTGTGCCGATGCAAAGCCAGGAGCTTCTTCTGGGTCTCCCACATGGGTGCAGGGACCCAAGGACTTGGTCCATCTTCTACTGCTTTCCCAGGCCATAGCAGAGAGCTGGATCGGAAGTGGAGCAGCTGGGACTAGAACCGGCACCCATATGGAATGCTGGCACTGCAGAAGGCGGCTTTACCCACTATGCCACAGCACTGGCCCCAAGAAGGGGGTTTTCTAGAGAGCATGTAAGGCTCAGATGAGGCATCGCCCAGAGGCCATTTGGTCCCGTGTACTGGGTCAGCTTCTCTCCCACTAGTGACCAGCTCATGCCTTTGTCAGGAGGAAGTCACCCTAGAGCCTCTACACCATCACATGGTGCAGGGACCCCGGACCCCAACTTCATCTCACAGACCCTTCCTGAGCATCCTTTGACAATATCACATTTGGGTGGGCATTTGGAACAGCAGTTAAGATACCACTTGTACCACATATTGGAGTGCCTGGGTTCAAGTCCCACTCCTGCTTCCTGCCAGTATACACCCTGGGAGCAGCAGGTGATGGTTCAGTACCTGGGTCCGGCCACCCATGTGGGAAGCCTAGAATGAGTTCTGGGCTCCTGGTGTTGGCATGACCTTGCCCTGGCTATTGGGGACATTTGAGTAGTGAACCAACAAATGGAAGATTTCTTCTGCCTCTTTTTCTCACTTTGTGTCTTTCTGCCTTGAAAATAAAATAAAAATTTTTTTAAACTCAAACTAGATCTTTTGATTGACGTGTTCATTAAAAGCAGCAGATTTTTGTTTCTAGGATGATCTTGCCAAATCAATGGTGTAATTTAAAATCAGTGGTGTCTTAGAATCCAGGAAGTATGGTCGTTTGTTTTGTACCCTATTGAAATTCCGGTTTGAGGTTTGGCACTGAGGCTTTGAAACTGCCAAAGCTGTTATCTGACATCAGTTAAAAAAAAAAAAACTCTCAACCTAGCATGTTCCTCGGTATGTCTGCACCTGGGAGAACTGGTGTCAGCCAGGCACTGCAGTTAGATTTTTACCAGAGCCAGACCCAGGACTTACTCACATAGGAATTCTTGATAAACTGGTCATCTCAAATGAAGGCCCTGCCATCTCCGAGCCTCAGTTTCCTCATCTGCGCCACGGGAGGATTGGCTCAAATATTATCTACAGCCAGAGCTTCCTGTTGACTCAATGTGGGCACCTTTTCCTTCAGTTAGCAAGGAGGCTGTCCCCTGACTTGTCGCAGAAGCAAGTGCATTGTGGGTCAGGGAAGGCGTAATGACAGGGGGACCGAGGGCCTTGGGTTTCTGCCCCCTGGATGTTTGGGGTTGCCTGGAAATGCACGTCCCTTTGTAAATTACCAGGCCGAAAACTTGGGCTCAGCTTTTCTCTTATCAGGGAGAAAAAGGAAGGGAGTGTCCTTGAGCCTCTCCACAGTGGCTCTAGGTGAGAGAGGAGCAGCAGCTCCAGGGGGTGATTGTGTCAGCATGAGGAGGGGGCCACTCAGCCCACGCTGGCTCTTAGGCCTGGACAGTTCCCCTGATAGAGTGCCATGAAAAAGACAACCTGCTTTGCCGTGTCTTCAGGCCTTTGCTCTGCCAGGGCCCCTCCCTCTGCTTTCCAACCAGTACGTTTCCTTCCGGCAGCAAGAGAATCAGACTCAGGCCTGGGCCAAGGCCCAGCCCCACCACGTCCTGTTCCTGAGAGCGCCTCTGTGCCGCCCTCAGTGCCTCCGGCCCCCGCGCTCCTTTCTGGGAAGTTGGGCAGGACCGACTGCCGGCTCTGGACAGGGATCTGACCGGGAGCGGAGTCCAGGTTTTTTCACCAATTTTGACTCAACAAGATAACCCTCCCTGGGTATCTTACCCCTCTGAGCTTGTGCTTCCTTATCTGTCATTCTATTATTACTGTCAACCACCCTTTTTAAAATTAAAACACACACACAAAGCATGAAGAAGAAACATAAAAAGGTCTGTTGGAGCACCCTCTGGCTAAGCCGGGAATTCTCACCCCAGCCTGCCTCTGCCTGCTTTGGTGCTGGTCTGCCCGCCTGGGGTGAGTGCTGATGCCAAGACATTTTTCCCACACTCTGCGCCCACCAGAATGTCAACTCCATGAGGGTCAAGACTTTGTTTTGGTCACAGGAATGCAGCCCCACCACCACCCCTCCAGAGGCCCTGACCCTAGAACAATGCCAGCACAGTGTGCAAATTGCCCAGTCAGTGGATATTGTACAAATATGTACAAGCGGTGGCGTCTGATGGGGCTTTGAAGTGTGTGTAGGATTTCAATAGGTAGAGACAGTTTGGGGCGCATTCTGGCAAAGGGTCTGGCATGAGTAAAAGTGGCAAGGCAGGAAAGGCCCGAGGCATAACTGGGGAACTCTACGTAAGTAGTCTGGCTCTAGCGAAGAGGTGAGCATGTTGTTTCTGTACTTGTTGGACTAGTTTTCGTGTCCAACTCCGCACCTTGCACACAGGCCCTCCCAAGAGGCTTATTTACCTAGGCAGACCCAGGGCAGGAATGGGTTGCTTTGCTTTTGTGCACAAACACAGACACTGCCTCTGCCCCAGAGAGGCACGGTGACCTTGGCCCCTCGACACACTGAGGGAGTAGGCACTTGAACTTCGTGTCTGTCTGGTCTGTGACCTCCAGGGAGGGGAAGCGTTCCTGTCATGTACACGAGGGTGTTTGTGAGTCCCAGAGGGAGCACAGCGGCAGTGCAGGGCTAAGCAGGCTGATGTCTAAGACCAGAGCCAGGGCCTTTGCTTCTCTTGGTGCATCTGACAGTCCTGCCTTCTGCTCCACAGGCTGGAGGAGGTCCCCCTGGAGGTGCTGAGGCAGAGGGAGTCCAAGTGGCTGGACATGCTCAACAACTGGGACAAATGGATGGCCAAGAAGCACAAAAAGGTGAGAGGCCTGGCCTCGGGCCTCGGGCCTCGGCTGGGAGGGCAGCCTGCAGAGGGGAGGAGGAGGGGAAGGAGGGGAACTTCACCAGCTTAGGAGACAGGGGCTTGCCTTAGGTGTCCTCCAGCGGCCGGCTAGAGGGCAGGGGGAAGGTTGGGATCTTGAGGACCCAAGTGAAGGCTGGGCCCTCACAGATGACGTCAGATTCGTGCAGGACTTGGTCCTGGGGCTAAACTTCAAAGCTGTTGTAGCCAACAGCCATTATGGGCAGCTTTCCTCTAGCCCTCCTAGGAGAAGGCCAGAGTGCTGCCCATCACCCGTTAGTGGATGTGTGTGAGCATTTGCAGTGTGCGTAATCCTCACTGCACGCAGGTGAGGGCAGCGATGCTGAGGCCCCTCTGGAGGGATGGCCCGCAGAATCAAGAGCAGGGTAACTTTAGCACCTGCTCTCTTCACCACCACAGCAAGGGGCCTTCGCACCCGCTACACTACTTTGGTGACTTCCCTCTTGGCTCCTGGCGAAAGCAAAACAAAGCAAAGTTAGAACACAGTTTCCTGAGAGTCTGATGAAAGTGAAAACACCCAGTAGTCCTTCCTAGTCAGGCTGTCTGTAAGCACTCGCCCTCTCACCCCATGAGAGCATTCTTGCCTCAACTCATAAGCTGCGTGGCCATGTTCTGGGTCACCCTTGGCAGAGTGCACTTACTGCCTGGACTGTGGAGGCCTGTCCATCGTCTCCCACTCGGGGTATCTCTGCGCTAGTTCCCGGTCCACAGAGTGCACCCTCGGGCCCCGTCGTCAGCTGGGGCCAAATGCCCTGGTCTGGTCCAGGCTGGCACACCTGGTGGCAAGTTCAAGACCCAGGTCAGGTAATGGCTTGGCCCAGCCCTGTTCTCTTCCTCCCTCCATGACTTTGCCTCGACGTGCAGCTGTGGGTAAGTCACTCACTCTCCATCCTCAGTTTCCCTCAAGTGCAAGTGATAATCCTGTTACAAGGCTCCCATGAGGTGGTGACCACAGGTCCTTCCTAGACTTGAAAGCCCTGGGCTGTGGGAGGAGGGGCTCACCCAGGCCTGGGCTCTTTCCTGCTGTCTAGGTGGGATTTGGGGCACTCAGTGTCTGCTTATTAGAAAAACCTTCATCTCTGTCTCCTCTCTCTCTCTCTTAAGGCAGTTGTTCTTCAGCCGCTTCCTGCCTGGGTCTGAGGTCTGTTTTCCTGCCTTTTCACCCTCTCTGACTCAGCCTGGCTGAAGCTTGCTCTCTAGCTATTTGTCGTGCTGACTGGTGGTTGACAGGGCCTGTGGCTCTGTCCTTCTAGCCCCGGCCTACCTTGCAAATGGGGACTCCAGAGGGGAGCCTTGGGCGCTCTTGGCAGGGTGGCTGGCAGCACCTCCTCTTCCCCGTCCTCCCCTGGCACTGTGGTGAGAGCCCAAGGGCGAAGGCGGCCCCTGCCCAGTGGAGGCCTCCCCAGGCGCATTGCAGTCCACGCGGCCCGGGACTGCGGAGGGCACCCTCCAGCAGCCTCTGCTCTGGCCACACCACGCACTGCCCTGCCAGCTCATCCTGCCTGGCCGTGGAGGCTTGGGCTCCACTGGACGTCAGGGCTCAGACGCCATACCTGTTTCAGAGTCGGAGTGTGGCCCAGACCCCACACTTCGCCTGGACTCCCTGGTCCTGCTGGGAGGGGGGGCCTTCCTACCCCTCTCAGCTGCGTCCAGGACAGAAATCGGGGCCTGCTGAGAGGCAGGGCTGCGGCTGGAATGCTGTGTTCCTGTAGGGCCCTGCCCTGCCCAGGTTTGGCAGGCGAGGGTGCGGCTGCACTCAGCTATCATCAGAGACCTCCATTCCCAAGGCGTTGCCTCAGCGAATTCCTCTGTGCTTTTGGGGAGCACTTTCTCCCACTTCCTGCTGGCTGACCCTCACCCTTGTGCTGAGGACGCTGGAGGCCGGAGCAGGAAAGACCGGCTGCACTCCCGGCTCTCAGTCCGCAGTTCCCTGGCCCTGGGCCTGCGGCGAGGACAGGGCCTCTGGGGATCCAGTGGACCGAGAGTGTCCCAGGCTCTATGGAGCTGCCAGTCAAGTATGAGGGGAGCTGTGCTGATGGGGGTGCTCGTGCCAAGCCTGGCCCTAGGGGAAGCTTGGAGGGCTTGTGTCTGGGCTGTACCAAGCGCCTTTGCCAAAGCCTGCCCAGAGTGGCTTCCTGCAGGTAACCCTTGTCCCATAGCAGCAGGAAACAGTCCCCAGACCCTGGGGCAGTTCCCTTCTGCTGCCCCCTCTCTCCCTCCTTTCCAGGCAGCTCGGCTTCTGCGACAGCCCCTGCTGCTGTCCCCCAACTGCCCTTAGCCTGCTGCCTGGCCCCTTCCTGGTTCTTGACTCTCTCTGCCCCTTGGAAACTTTGCTCTTGTTTGCACTGTTCATCAGGAAGGCCAGCCTTCTGTGCTCCCCGCTGACGGCTTCCAGTGGGACTGCTGGAGGGGGTTTCCAGGTGAGGGGAAGTTAGGCATAAACTGAGGCCCTGGGCCTCTGTGTGGGCATCTCCCAGGGACGCAGGGTAGAGAAGCCTTCACTTGCTGGACACAGACCCCGCGCTCAGCACTTCCCCTCTTCTTAGTGGAACCCTTTCAGCGGGGCTGCAGAGAAGTAGGTCTTATCATCCCGACCTGATCTTGCAGTTAAGAGACGTGCTTGGCCTGAGGTCAGCACTGGATTCGAGCCCGTGATGAGGTGTTCTCCTCATGCTTTGAGAACCCAGCTCCTTGATCCCAGGCCAGACTGCTCAGTGCAGGAGCCCTGGGAGTGTCTCTGGCCACCGCCTGCCATCCCACGGGCCTTCCATGGGAGTGGTGCCAAGGCACCTCCGGGACCAGCCAGGGCGGGGCAGCTGCCTTCAGAGCCTCATTCTGTTCCCAAGCCCAGGGGAGCCCACCTGCCCACTCATCTCTGCGATGCTGACACAGTGGGAACATACGGGGCTGGCTCCCTCCGGCCGGTGCAGTACGGTCAGAGAAGTAGTTGGGTCTCGGTGTGACCTTAATTTTTCCCACTCTATACCTCCTTTTCCACATTCATAGTTTTCCCATTCATAAAAGATGATTGTCTCAACCTGGGTTTTGGTAGTGGAAGACGTTTTCTAGTAAGAACAGCTAGCCCAAATGGGCTACCACAGCACGTCCTCCCTCACTTTGCCCATTTAGTGAGTGGCAGGGGAGACCTGGGCCATCTGAGCAAGGTCTGGGGTCAGGACGGCCGCCTGTGCTCCAGGCTGGTGATCTTGGGAGCTCAGGGTCAAGGAGAAGAGGAGAGAAGAGAAGGAATTTTTGAAACCTCTGTTGAGATTTCTCCTCTCCAGTACGCAGCTGCTGAAACCAACCCTCCCACTCCCCATGAAAGTGACTAGGTCACCCTGTGCAGTTCCTTCCCTGGTGATAAACCATGGGGTTGCCCCAATCTGTATGGTTCCCTTTTGATTTAGAAACTAGGTATGGGGCGGGGTCTGCAATTCTGTCAGAGACCTCAGGGCTGCCTGTGTTGTCACTGGACCAGGGGATAGACTCCACCCTCACCTGGGGGCAGCGTGTCTAATTGCAGTCACTCCTCTGCCCCCCAACACAGGATCTGCATTGTAGCAACAATGAGACAGTCCTCCTTTCTTCCCCTCTCTGCTCTTGCTGAAATGCTCGCTGAAGGCCCGCCCAGACCTGGCAGAGGGGCCAGGCGGGGGGGCGCTGCTGGGGTGGGTGCGCGGGCACAGCTGTCCTTTTGACTTTCAGATCCGCTTGCGGTGCCAGAAGGGCATCCCACCTTCTCTGCGGGGCCGTGCGTGGCAGTACCTGTCAGGAGGCAAGGTGAAGCTACAGCAGAACCCAGGAAAGTTTGACGTGAGTCTCCCTGCCTTTGAGCCCGCCCTTCCTTCCGTATCTTCCCCGACAGCAATCCACGTGCTCATCTGGCCCTCGGCAGGATGAGCCATCGGCGGAACCTCCAGTCACGTGCCTGACTGCGCAGGCCCCGGCGGCCCAGAGCGGCCCAGATCAGGACGTGTAGCTCCTGGAGGCTCTGCTTTTCTGAGGCTTCAGCCCTCAGCAGACAGACCGCAGTGGGATGGACAGATGCTAACACCGTTCCAACTCTCTCCGGGCACTCAGGTCCACTTTCTTGGGCTCAGAAGCTGCCTCCCAGCTCGGTCATCAGGAGGAGCAGTCATCACTTCCCTGGCTGCCTTGGGCCTGCTCTGGGCCTCTGGGGGCTTGCCCAGCAGGACCTCAGGACCCTCAGCACTTCCTGGCTTCCCATCCTCTGCTCTTTGTCCCACCTCAGCCAAACTCAGCCCTACACAGTTCCCCGTATGGGGTCATCAGCTCTGGGGGTGTCAAACCCGTGTCCTCAGGGGGTCAGAAGCCACTCTGTGGCCAGAGAGGATTCCTTGTATAGTCCCGCCTCCCTCTGCCCCGTCCTGGGTCTTGCTTTCCCTGGCCCCATGGCATGCAGGAGAACAGTGCCTCCCCTGGGAAGCTGTGGGTTACCTACAGCTTACCTGGCCTGAGGCATCAGGGTTCTCCCAGGTCCTTGGGACTGGTGACAGGCAGACAGTGTGACAGAGCTGCCAGCCACCAACTCTTTGTTGACATACTTCATGCCTCAGTGAGCACTCCTGTCCTGCCAAACTTGTTCTCTGAGAGAGGTGAGTGGGGGCAGGGCAGCTCTGTTTATCCCAGTGAGCACCCATACCAGGCCCCACCAGAGTGGCCTTCAGACTCTGGAGTGGTCTCCCATCACTTCAGTCCAAGGGGCTGCATCCTGGGAGAACAGGAGGCTCACAGGTGGGAGCCCCACTCCAGTCCAGAGCCCCGGGATGAATGCCAGGGTGGGCGGGCCGGCCAGCCTCCTGGTGGCACAGCAAGCAGTCCACAGAGTATGATGCAGAGTGCAGAGCTGGGGCTGGCAGGTTACTGATGTGAGGAGGCACTTCTCAGTGCTCTGAGGCGGAGTGGAAGCTCCCTGCGGCTGTCGTGGGGCTGCGCACACACCAGGTCAGGCTTTGCCTGTGGGTGACCCAGAGGAAACAGATGGGGGTGAGCAGCTGCCATGGCTGCGTGAGCCAAGGGAGGGGCTGTGGTGGTAGCACATACCTGGTCCTGTGCTTCCCCCGCCATTAACCCACAGCCTGGTGGCTGACCCCATCTCAGCAGTCTGGCCAACTGCAGTGTCTGGTGGCTCCCTCTCCTCCACCTCTTGCTATTTCTAACTCTTCCTTGGACACACAGAACCTTCCTGCCTTTGTTGCCTGGTTCTCTTTGGCACCCCGTCATCAGGCACCTGCGCCTCTCAGACTACAGAGGCTGCAGGCCCAGACAGTGACCGCAGTAGCAGTGGGTCTGCCAGAGCCCACACCCAGCTCTTTCTCCCCGGGCACCCCACAGCCGCCCCCTGTCCTTTCTCAGCAGCCCTGTATGCGGTCAGGCACCTTGAGCTGCTGAGGGACCTAGAAATGACTTCTGGGGTTCTGAAGTCCCTATCTCATGGGAACCACAGAGAGAATTTGTGAGACCCACTTGCCCTTTCTTTTTTTGAATGATGTATTTATTTCTGTATTTGAAAGGCAGAGTGAAACAGAGAAGGAGAGACCAAGAGAGAAACCTTCCATCTGCTGGTTTATTCCCCAAGTGGCTGTAACAGTCAGCAGCCAGATCTGGGCCAGGCCAAAGCCAGGAGCCAGGAACTCCATCTGGATCTCCAAGTGTTGGAGACCGAAGCACTTGGCCCATCTTCTGCCACCTTCCCAACTGGATGGGAAATGGAGGTGCTGGGACTTGAACCCACATGTAGCAGCTTAACCCACTGTGCCAGGAAGCCGGTCCCCCTCCTCCCCTTTCTGACAAAAGCAAACCTGAATTGTGTTCACACAGCAGCTAGGGTTGCACAGGAGACACACTGGCTCCTATCTTGAGTGGGGGGTGGGTGGGGGGCTTCAGGGGATGCACACCCGTCAACCTTCCCTCTGCCTACTCTCCTATTCCTGGCACCCTCAGTTCTTTAGTTTAATGCTGGGCCCTTCCTGCTCCCCTACTGGGGGCATAAGGGGGCAAGGGGCTTGTATGAGGACACCTGCCAGCCAGGGCCAGGGCCTGGTCTGTTCTCGCTCGGTGTGTTTGCTGGGCCTCCCTCCCCAGGACCTGTCCTCAGGCCCCTTGTTCTTTGCTTCCCTGCGCAGCCCTCTGGCCTGCCTTCTTTTTTAAAAACACTTCAGTCCTGAGCATGCAGTTTGGTTCTGACACGTGACAGACCCCCACGTCACCACCATGCCAGTCAGGAGGGAGAGCCTTCCAATGACCAAGGAACGGTTTTGTTTTTTGTAATAGCATTGTTGTTGTCGTAAAGGTACACATGCTAAAATGTTCCCGGAAGTTCAAAGAAAAGGAGCTTTGTTGAAGCCCCAGCACCCGGAGAAGCAGCTGAGGTTAATGGTTTGACAGATGTTGTGTCCTCCCCGACGGCGCTCTGGGCGGGTCACACACGGACACACACACCCCTTCCTGAGGCGGTGACGCCACCAGCGCAGAGGCAGGCAGCACAGGAGCTGGGATTGACGACGCTGGATCAGACCTGGCTCTCGTCCCAGCTCCACCATTTTTTCTAGCTACAAGGCCATGGGCAAGTGACTTTTCTTTGACCCCCCCGTTTCCTCATCTGTGAACAGGGTATAACAATAGGACCTGTCTTTCGGAGTGAGTGGGGCCCACAGGTGCTCCCTGCCTAGCACCTGGCTCAGAGTGGCAGCTAATGCTTGGATAAGCAGCTTTCCTTCTTACAGATGGGACATCCTGTGTGCGCCCGAGTCCTACCTGAAGTGCCTGGAGGCTATTTCCAGCCGCACCTAGGATAAGCACTCTGCCCACACAGGGCTTCCCAGAGCCAGGACCACGCTGTCTGGGTTCCAGGGCCCCGTCCTCCCTGCCCCTGCCCAGCCTTTCCTGTTCTCAGGCAGGCCCAGTCCTGTGTTGGAATCGGGTGGGCACTCCCAGGAGTAGGCTCTTCTGGTACCTGAGACGGTGGTACCTGGCACGAATGCCCTTTTCTGCTTTCCCCGGCCCCTAATGTGTACCCTTACCCTTGCTTCTAGGAGCTGGACATGTCCCCTGGGGACCCCAAGTGGCTGGATGTGATTGAACGTGACCTGCACCGGCAGTTCCCTTTCCATGAGATGTTTGTGTCCCGGGGGGGCCACGGGTGAGCCGCGGGCCTGTGGGCTGGGAGGTGACCTGGGCCTGTCCTCCGGGGGCAAGGAAGTCTGGCAGGGCTCAGAAGCCGCGTGCCCAGCACTCCATTGTTAGCGTTTCCCTCCTTTGGTTTGAGTCTGAGGGATGCCCTCAGCCGCTTCTTTGACCTCTGCGGCTGCTTTCATCATTGACTTCTGAGCGCTAGAGCTGGCTCAGCCTGGCCCTCCCCTGGAAGCAGGCTTCATCAGAAAGGGCAGGGGGAGCTGGGGGGGGTGGGAGGCTTGCAGGAGGAGAGATGAGGCAGGCAAGGGGACCAAGACAGACAGCTGGGGCAAAGCTGGCCTGGCTGAGGGGCGTGGCTGCCATGTAAGGGTCCCCCCACTCACAGGCCTCAGTACCTCCTTAGCCTGTGTCTGGCTGGCATCCTGCCCTGGCCTGGCTCCAGCCCCGCTCTCTTTGAGCCTGTGCCCTCCCCTGTCACGTGGGAGCCCCTCACTGGTCACTTGAGGGTCCGTGTCCCACACTGGATATCGACCCCTTGGTGACAAGGGGAAGGCCAGATTCTGGGGCAGGTCTGGAGCAGCGGGCATCAGAGTCACGCCTGTCATTGCTGCCCTGCTTGGCCTCACTGTAGCCAGCAGGACCTGTTCCGCGTGCTGAAGGCCTACACGCTCTATCGGCCAGAGGAGGGCTACTGCCAGGCCCAGGCACCCATCGCTGCTGTCCTGCTCATGCACATGCCGGCTGAGGTGAGTGCCACCAAGCCCTGGGCGGGCAGGCGGGTGGGCGGGCAGGCAGGCGGCCAGCAAGGCCTTGCTCACATCTCTCTCCCCCGCAGCAAGCCTTCTGGTGCCTGGTACAGATCTGTGAGAAGTACCTGCCCGGCTACTACAGTGAGAAGCTGGTGAGTGCTTATCTGGCCTGGTGCCTGCTGCAGCCTGGAGGCCTCCACTGCCCACTAGGCCTCTGCACGGGCCCAGGCCATGACCCCTGCCTGGAGCACCGTCTCTCCTATCTGAGCTTTCCTCGGCCCTGACCAGCGGGCCCCTCGAGCCCACGCTCACGGAGTGACCCTGTGCCTGCCACGGCCCTGTCACCCCCTTGCCCCCACCTCTGCTCACAGGGCCTGGTGGTGGCCACCCCCACAGGCCACAGTCATGGCCCCGTGGCTTCTGTGTCGTGCCAGGAAGCGATCCAGCTGGACGGAGAAATCCTGTTCTCGCTGCTGCAGAAGGTGTCGCCGGTGGCCCACAAGCACCTGAGCCGCCAGAAGATCGACCCTCTGCTCTACATGACCGAGTGGTTCATGTGCGCCTTCGCCCGCACCCTGCCCTGGAGCTCCGTGCTTCGCGTCTGGGACATGTTCTTCTGCGAAGGTACCAGGCTGGGCTCCGGGGCCTCCAGCTTCAGAGAAGCCCCCTGAAGGCCCCCTTGCACTTACCACCTGCCCCCCCCTCCCCATGCAGGAGTCAAGATCATCTTCCGGGTCGGGCTGGTGCTGCTGAAACACGCACTGGGCTCCCCTGAGAAGCTCAAAGCCTGCCAGGGCCAGTACGAGACGATCGAGCGACTGCGGAGCCTCAGCCCCAAGATCATGCAGGAGGCCTTCCTGGTCCAGGAGGTGCGGCCCACCACTGGGAAGGGGACTTTGTAACTCTGCCCCACCCCCACCCCGTGCCAAGCCCACTGCTCGGCAGCCCAGGACAGTGTGGGTGGAGGCCTGGCTTGGCGGGGCATCCCTGTCTGACCCCTTGGGAGTCAGGAGGAGCTGCAGCCCCTAGCCCCTCTCCCTGTCCCCAAGGCCACGGCTCTCTTCCTTTTTACTTCCTGTCTCTCAGGGCTGTAATGCGGTGGTGACACATGAGTGGCCAGCCTCTCTGGGGTGTGGTGAGGGCCAGACTGGGAACAGGGCTGAGGCCAGTGTTGGGGGCACAAAAGCAGAACACTAGCCCATCTCTGCACCTGGCTTCTCCAACGGCGGCCACAGGCCAAGGCATTATCCCCCCTTCACACAGGAGGAAGCGCAGGCCCGTGACGCCGCCAGCCAGAAAGCAGCAGGGCTGGAGCTCGAGCCCGCGTGGCCAGGCTGCTCTGGGAAGCTGTGGGGGGCGGTGGACACAGTGGCCGAGAGCAGATTTTACCCCGGCTGGGCCTTACCCCTCCTGGACTCTGAGCTCACCTGGCACTCAGCCCTGGGACTTGTGCTCACAGCTTGGGACCAGACCCCATCCTTCCTGGTGTCAGTCTTTAGGGCTAGCAGGTGCCGAGGGAGCGTGGGAGCCCGGGCTGAGGGGCAGAAAGGGAAGGTCCTTCTTCCTGGTGCCCACCTGTCCTTCACTGCCCCCACAGATAGTGGAGCTGCCCGTGACCGAGCGCCAGATTGAGCGGGAGCACCTCATTCAGCTGCGGCGCTGGCAAGAAACCCGGGGTGAGCTTCAGTGCCGCTCCCCGCCCCGGCTGCACGGCGCCAAGGCCATCCTGGATGCAGAGCCCGGTCCCCGGCCCGCCCTGCAGCCTTCGCCATCCATCCGTCTGCCTCCGGACGCCCCCCTCCCCGGCTCCAAAGCCAAGCCCAAGCCACCCAAGGAGACCCAGAAGGAGCAGCGGAAGCGGACAAAGGCGAGTGGGCAGCTGGACAAGCCCCCAGCCCCAAATCAAGCCGCTGCAGGAGATGCACGTCCCCCACAGGACGCACCCCCAAAGGATCTGGCCCCACAGGAGCCAGCCCCCCAGGACTTGGCTCCCCAGGATTCAACACATCACCGCTCCCAGGAGAGCCTGACATCCCAGGAGAGTGAAGACACCTACTTGTAACCCCGGCAGCTCCGGCCTCCGGGGCGGGGTCTCCACACTGCTACACGGTTCACGGACGGACACTCCAGGGCCTGCCCACCCTCCTAGGGACCAGCCTCCTGGCTGCTGCACTGGGATAGAGTCTGGCAGGCCCAGCACAGATTCTGCCTGAGCCTCCTTATTTATTTTCTCTAGAGTTGGAGCTCGGGCTGGCCCAGCCAGTGCAGGCCAAAGCTAGGGCCAAGTGGGTGGGCCCCACTCAGCCCCGCCTCCTGGGGGGGTTGCTCCCAGGGCTAGGGCTCTGCCGTGAGGGGAGAGGGTGGGGTGCTCTTTGTGTAAAATAGAAACATGGTTTTGTACAAAACAGAAATAAACAGCTTGTGTAGAGAGCTGGTGTGCAGCTGGGGGCTGGGAAAGGGGTGCCGCTCTGGCTCTCAGCATCCTCTCCACACCCTGCAGAGCCCCCCAGCTGGGCCCCCAGCCCAGCACCAGAGACGCCAAGTCCAGGAGCAGCCTTGCCCCATCCCAGCGGCCCCTTCTCCACCGAGACTGGAACCTGGTGCTGGGCAAAGCAGCGGGTGTGCCCCAGGCCTGGTCCCTGACTACCTCCCAGGGGGGGCAGGCTCTCTGAGGGGGGCTGCAGGATCTTCCTCCTCCAGGCCTGGCCGGGACACCCCTCAGGCCCTGACCAGCTTCCGAATGCCCATTCTGGGTCACGGGCCGACACCAGGGCTGGGGCCCCTGAGTATCCTCACCCGTTCAGCCCAGGCCTCCCGCCCTCGGAGGCGGCGGGGAGAAGTCTGGGTGCTGGTCACTAGCCCTCACCGCGTGCCCGTGTGCCCGGCGGGGCTGGCTCTGTCAGCGGCTCATCAGGTAGCTCTGTGGTCGCCCACTTCTTAGAGCTGACGGGGAAGAAAGCAACTCCCCTGGAGAGGGGCGCCAACCCGGGTTACATCCTGAGCCCCTCACTCAGCTCCTTCTCCCGGCCACCATCCCAGGCCCGGTGGTCACCCCTTGATGACTGGCAAGAGCCAGGACGGCGTGTCCCAGGGAGCGCCCCCCACCCCACCCCACTGCTGAGGAAGCGGCTTTCCCAGTCAAACAATAGCCGCTGTTCCTGGCAGGGGCCCAGGCAGGGTTAGACATGGCAGGGGAGGGAGGGGCAGAGCCTCGCCGGGAGCTTGCAGGCATCTCCAGGGCCGGGAACATCTTGTCCCAGCCAAGCTGGGGATACTGAGGCCCAGGCAGGCCACCCACTTCCTGCCCCCTGCCCCCAGCCCCTGCTGTTTCCCACTCTAACTGCACCTGCCATTGATGAGCCGGGCCCAGTCTTTGAGAAACACCCCTCCTTCCCTGGTCCTCCAGGGGACAGGCAGCTGCCCTGTTGTCCACAGGAACCCAGAAGGCCAGGCAGGAGGCTTATCCATCTGCCTACAGTGCAGGCGCTGAGCGGGCAGGCGGCTTGCTCAGGCCTGCCCAGCCACCCTGAGGCCTGCCTCAACCTACTCGGTTCAAAGCCTCAAAGCAGAGGCCTGCAGATGATTTGGCCAGATAAGGGCCCCCTGGAGCGTGCCCTGCCCTGCTATGAAGCCCACCCTGGGCTTGCTGATGCCTGCTCAGCCTGCGGGGTCTTCTTAGACCTGCGGAGGCTGGGTAAGATCTAGAGTGTCTGCCAGTGCTGGGGGGGGGGAGGGGGCAGGGGGCTGGAGGTCTTGGGCCTGAAGCAGCTTAGATGGGGGTCCCAGGGGCCACAGGCTTCAGGAAGGCCCGAGCAGGCTCAAGGCTCTGGCCTGAAGTCGCTCTGGCACACGCCATGCACCCCTAGAGTGTGGCCCTGGGCCTTCCCGGCCCACACACCTAAAGCCCTTACCCCACCGTGGGTGGCTCAGGCACAGCCGGCCAGGACGCCCCTGGCCTCTCTGCCCCTGGTAGGGAGCCTCCTACTCTGAAGTCGGCTGAGTGCAACAAGTGAGGCCACCTGGGTTTCACCCGGTCAGCCCACGACGAGGTCGGGAGGTGTGGGGCCATATGGACACGGGTTTGAGTCCCCGCTGCCACCGTGGCCATGTGGGGTGTGAACCAGCAGATAGACATCTCCGTCCCTCTCCCTCCCTGTGACTCTGCCTTCCAAACATAAATAAAATCTTTAAAAATAAAGTGGGGAGGGGTATGTACCAAAACCAATCCCAGGAAGCCCCGGCTGTGGGGGACAAGGGGCTTCGGACACAGCCGCCCAGCCCGCTGCCCCGGCGTCCCCGCGCCTGCCGAACCGTGAGCAGACGGCACCGGGGCACGGCCGGGAACCCAGCACGGGGCCCGCCAGGACCGACGGCACACTGGCCCGCTGCCCCGCCACGCCCCTGCGGCCCGAGGGCAGCGTGCTGACCCCGCTGGCGGAGCTCCGCTTCGTCCCAGGCATAAAAACCACGTGCGGGCCTCAAGGCCAGAAACCGCCCCACCCACGTCCCCCCGCGCAGCGGAATGGGCGGGGCCGGGGGCGGGGCCGGGGTGGAGCCAGGCGGCGATCCCAGCCGGAGCCAACGCGGCGCGGCCGTCGGGGCGGGGCTCGCCGAGTAGGCGGGGCCGGGGTGGAGCCAGGCGGCGATCTCAGCCGGAGCCAACGCGGAGCGGCCGTCGGGGCGGGGCTTGCCGTGTCGGAGGCGGCGGGGCGGAGCCGCGGCGGGGAGGCGTGGCCATCCCGGATAGGCCGCGCGGCCCTCAGGGCGCGGCAGTCAAGGAGCCCGACTCCGGGCCCGACGCCCGGCGGGGCGGGCCCGGGGCGTAGTTGGCGGCGTGGTCGCTGGCGCGCCGCGGCTCCTTTAAGCGCAGGGCACCACCCCTGCCGCCCCGCCTCCCGCTAGGCCTGGGTCGGGTGGACGGCGGGGTCGGGTCCACGCGATCCCCGATGGAGTTGCGCATCCTGGAGCACCGGGTGCGGGTGCTGAGCCTCGCCCGCCCCGGGCTCTGGCTCTACACGCACCCGCTCATCAAGCTGCTCTTCCTGTCCCACCGCAGCCGGTGCGTGCCCGGGCTCGGGGGTCCGGCCGCGGAGGACGAGGGCGGCCCGAGACCGGGGGGGCCGTGGCTGGGGAAGGCGCTCCCTCTCCGGCCGCCATCTGGCCCGGGCCTGCCCTCCCCGGGACCGCCGCCTATCCGGCCCGGCGAGGGCCCCTGTCCCAGGGCCCGTCCGGGCGCAGACAGCCCCAGCGAGGGCAGACAGTGCTGGACCCTGGCCCGCGGAGCCACCCCAGAGGGGCACGGGTCCGCCTCGGGCCGCTCCTGTCCTGCGGGGATGGAGGAGCCGGGGGCTCTCGGGGAGGCGGCCCCCTCCCCAGTGCCTTGGGGAGGAAACTTCAGCTTGGCGGAGGAGGGTACTCCTGGCCCCAGGACCGGGCCAAGGCGGGCCCCCTGCACTCCTGGCTGAGAATGCTTCCCGCCCGCCCCCAACCAGGTGCAAGTTTTTCAGCCTGACCGAGACGCCCGAGGACTACACGCTCATGGTGGACGACGAGGGCTTTAAAGGTGGGGGCTGCCCTGGGGGGGGGGCTGCGCTGGAGAGGGCGGGGCTGGACGCTGCAGGCTTCTCGCCAGATGCGGGGCTCTGATGTCCCAGGAGCTGCGGCCTTTTTCAAGGCTGATGGACCTGGGTTCAGGTCCTCCTGCTCCACTCCCTGCCCCGTGAGCAACTGGCTGCCCCTCTCTGAGCTCCGTTCGCTGTATGAAAAGGGTGTAGACAGGGTTCTTCTGACCTAGGGGGATTTCTCCTCCGAGGCCTCTGCAGACTGTGTGTGAGGGAGGGGCCCCCGGCGGTCTTGGGCCTGCAGCAGGGTTAGGGTTCCCGGCGCTGTTGGAACCCCCGTGGGCGTTATATTTCCTTCCGAGTTGTATCGCCCACGTTCGGACCCGGCTGCTCAGGGAACTCTGGGAATCTGAGGGTGGCGGAAGGAATGCTAGAGCGTGTGGGCATCCCAGGGCAGGGCCCCCCTACCCCCCAGCTCAGGACTGAAAGCCAATCCTGGTCCCTGCCTGGCCCTGGAGCTGACTCTGGCTCCTGCAGTCCTGGCCGGTGTTCATCGGCCTGGGATCTCAGGCCAGCCAAGTGGGGCTTGGCCCCTGCCCCGGGTCTCTCCGAAAGGCCTTAGTTTACCTGTTTGTGCTGCAGGAAACCCTGGGTCTTGCCAAAAGGGGGCCAACCTGATCTGCTGGCGCCCCCTGGTGGTGCCACGTGGTGTAATGCCTCTTAGCCAATAGAGAGGAGTCCCGTGGAACCCATTTCGCGGATGAGGAAACTCTCAAGTCGCTAGCCCCAGTGTCCCACAGCAAGTAAACGGCGAATCTGAGTTTGGGTCCAGATCTGAGCCTGGAGCTCTGGACTTGCTGCGAAATTTCAGGCCCCAGCAGGCAGCCCTGACCAGGCACGTGCCCCCGCCCACAGAGCTGCCGCCTTCCGAGTTTCTGCAAGTGGCTGAGGCCACGTGGCTGGTGCTGAACGTGTCGTCTTCCAGCGGGGCGGCGGTGCAGGCCGCCGGGGTCACCAAGATCGCCCGCTCCGTCATCGCACCGCTGGCCGAGCATCACGTGTCCGTGCTGATGCTGTCCACCTACCAGACGGACTTCATCCTGGTGAGTCTCCCGCGGGGGCGTGGCGTGGCGGAGCAAGGGCGCCCGGGCCGGCACCCACCTGATGTGCCCGTCTGCCCGTGGCCCAGGTGCGGGAGCAGGACCTGTCCGTGGTGATCCACACGCTGGCCCAGGAGTTCGCCATTTACCGTGAGGTGGGCGGGGAAGCTGTGCCTGTTGTCAGGGACGATTCCAGCAACGGCTTCCCCCGCGCCCAGCATGGTGAGGGCTGCCCCCGGATACCCATACTGGAGCGGGGCCTGCCTTGTCCCACTGGGGCCCTGCAGGTGGGTCTGTGCACCTGCACCCCGACACTGACCCTGAGGAGCTGGGAGCCGACCGGGCCCGGTCCCTCCCTGATTGACCACCAGGGGGCGCGCTTGCTCCAGACACTCGTCACTGGCTGCCCTGTCTCCAGCAGGGCCCAGCCCCACGGTGCATCCCATCCAGAGCCCCCAGAACCGCTTCTGTGTCCTCACCGTGGACCCCGAGACGCTGCCGGCCATCGCCATCACCCTCATCGATGTCCTCTTCTACTCCCACAGGTGAGCCCTGTGTGCCCCTGTTTTCCACCCCCAACATCTTCCTCCATTGGTTCTGGGGGTCCACCCTGCCCTGTGTCCTGGGGGGGGGTTCCCGGCCCCCTGGAGTGCCCGTGGGCCCTCCGCTGATGCTCGGGGAAGCGCCGTCTCCACTGGCATTGCAGAGCGGCTCCCGAGCCAAACCCTGGCCAGGCCCTCTCTCCCAGGGTCCTGCAGGGCCCCACCCA